TGTTGAGAGGCCGCGGTAGGCACTGTCAGTGACGTCGGCACCTCGGGGTCCATTCACACAGAACTCACCTTCCTGTTGTCTTTGCTGCTCCCAGCAGCTCCGTGCTGTTCTTTCCGCTCAGTTTACGGCAGCTCAGGAGGGCTACGTGATGTCCCAAACTGGACATAGTAGACCCCAAAGTCTGGTCTTGTGGTGACAAGTTTTGGATGTTTTTTTCTCTTCACCTATATTTCTAAGTAGCGTCCCTTTAAACATGAGTACAGAGCTCAAGTAAGTTTTAGCCTGAAGTTGTGCATTGGCATTAAAATCTGTGATGTCGGCCCATGCAGAAAGCCTTGCATGTCGAAAGTATTTGACCTAAGAACTCGAATGCATATGTGTGTGAGCATGCTCCCACGAGTAGCACCCCATGAAAATCCGGAAGAGACGCTTCGCAAACCTGCTCGACACCACGGTCACTCAGGGAACTGGTAAGAATGCATCTGGTCTCTCTCGAACCTCAGGCACTCTTAGGACAAAGAAAAAGAACAAAGGGAAAATGACTAGTAATTCGTCGTACAAAGAGCATCTTCACATCCAGAGCATCTCCTGCGCCCGGGGGCCTCCCCGCAGACCCTCGTGCCCTGGGAGGGATTGTGAATAAGGACGTCTGTGTCACAGCAGCTATTGCCTTGATATATTATTTTCCAATACTTTTGGGTCTCACGTCCAAGTTCTTTGATGTGAGTTATTTAAATTTAAGAACAATGGCCGAAGATGAAAGAGGAAAAGAGGCCTCTTGTGCAATTTCCCTGTTTGTGAAAAGTAATAATTTCATGCCTTCTGTGATACTGTTGTGAGTCAGCAGACATAAATATCTCCAGGGGAATCTTTGTTCTGCTATTTTCCACCTAGCACAAATGATCCCAGAGTGGAGGGGGCTATTAGCTGAAATTTGGACCCTAAATAAGTCATGTTAGTTTCTGTGTGTGTGTTCTCAGCTGTTTTGGGGAACCTGTATGAAGCCAAATTAACTATACTTTTAACTGACTAGAAATTAAGGTATTAAGAGGGGAAATCATGGTACCTCGGTCAAGGAGGAAGACACTCAGGGATGGCAGTCAAAGGACTCCTGTGACTGCGTGGCTCAGTGCAGACCTCAGTTCCTCTTTGCAGAAACAGGTTAGGTCAGCTGTGTGAGCCTGTGAGATCTCTGATACATGCTCTTTCTGGAAGAGCTTGGAACATTCTGAGTCTTGGCTCTTCCTCCATCTACTGATGCGACACTGGTCCAGACCTGCCAACACTCATAGCCTCCGCAACCTGAGGGGGTAAGTAAGGATGAAGACGTCTTTCCCGCCCACATCGTAGATTTATTCTGAGAAGGAAGGCTAAACACGGGATGCTTGGGAGTGATGGACACCCGTACGGACCCCTGCAGCCACATCTGGACCTGGTGGACGTCCCAGCTCCTTACTCATAAGCTTGTGCGTGGGTGCATCTCGATATTCATAGATACCTGTCGCTATGTGGACCCACACAGATACCCATCTCGATAGAGATACCCAGGTACGGAAGTGGCGTCATAGATGTAATATGGGTATAGATACGGGTTCTTTGTACGTTCTGTGTAACTCTCTACAAATCACATACACACACATAAACATTGAAGTTCAGAGTCACTATTTAATAGTTTCATGTATCTCGGAGAGGGCTTGTGGAGTTCACAAAACTCACCAGTGTCTGATGCCAGAATAAAACTAGTAGAGCAAAGTGGTGGACCTCACAGGCTGGCCAGCTGGGAGGGTCTGAGTGCGGGCCCTCAGGCTGACCCCAGTGACTCTGGGCAGGCTCCCGAAATTCTCTGAGCCTAGGCTTCCTCGTGTATAAAAGGAATTTGGTTTCAGTTCTGGTCTCACAGGGTCCCTGTGGACATCACAGGAGAAGCAGTATAAAGCGTACACTGTGTCCCGTACCTCAAGCAAATGGTCACCACAGTCACGACTCCCGCGAACGCACTTGTGCGCCTGGCTCCACGCCTCCACAGTGAGCTGCAGGGACGCGGCCCCTCGTGGACCGCAGCGTGGGCGGAGAGGTCGGCGGGGAAGATGCAAACACAAAGCAGCTGTGTGTTCGATCGAGCGAGGATGGAGCAGAAGGGGACCCCACCTGGCACTTTCCCGGGCACAGAGGTGGTTTCTGGGAGTGAGGGCCAGCTGCTTCTGCCCGCCGCATCCAGGCTCTGGGGAGCCCCCAGCTGCCAGGTGGCCCTGGGCGGCCCGGCACCTCCCGCGAGGCTCATTCCCGGTCCTCATTCCCGTGGGAAGGGCAGGCACCGGTGCAAACTGGCTGAAGACGCACATCAGCATCGTCTCCGGATAGGCCGGAGGGTGACATTGGCTTCTGCTCCTCTTCCCACTGTGTCATCAGTTCGGGCTGCCTGGCCGTGCCCAGCGCTCTGGGGAACAGATGAAGGGCCAAGGGGCTCATGAGAAGAGCAGCAGATTGTGAACATCACTCCCTTCATGCCGTCCTTGAGTTAAAATGTTTGTAATCTTTCCTCCAGCGAGAGGCCAACTTCTCTGAGGCTCCACCACGGCTCTGCCCTCATCCATTCTACATTATCTCACACAAGATAAATGCAGGAAACAGCACCTACCCACGCGAAAGCCACGTGGGCAGAAACAATACCACAATACAAGTGAATAAGCCAAATGGAGGAACTTCCGGAAAGGTGAAGGTTGGCCAAGATTTTTATCTTAACTGACTTTCAGATCAGAGTCTACACCACGTGTTAAAATCCAGGTTTGGATCTGGCCGCCCCACCACACTGAGGGTGGATGCCACGGACAGGCTGTGGCCGTGTCCTCTGCTTTTCCTACCCCGGCTCCACAAAACGGGAGTCACTGCGTACGCACCCACGGGCAGCGTGTCCGCCTCGCGCGATGCTGGGCTGTGAGCCGGGCCCCCGCGAGAGGCAAACAGGCCGGACGGCGGCTGCGTTTGCCTGCAGGGCCTCGGGGTCCCAGCTCAGGGACCAGTTTTCTGGCCCGGCTGTGGAGGGCTCCTTTGGGTTAGCGCAGGCAGGTTGTAGGCGGCTCAGGAGTTGGGGATCCTGCGGCCACATCTCCGCATGTAGCTGGTGCTCTCAAATATCTCTCGCGCTGCAGAGAGCAGGTGGGCAAGTCATGGACTTTTCCAGCATTCGGGTCAAAGGATCAGCGGCTTCATTTAGCTGTGCGGTTGGGGGATAGTAACTGCCCGATGTAGCGCAGAAGAGGGGTGTGGTTGCACTGCGCTCGCTCATCAGCACGAAGTGGCCAGACGGTTACTAGAGTCCCTTCTCTCTGGGGCCCACCTCTAACGTGTGCTCACTCTTTCCAAAGTATTTACTGGACCGAATTACTGAACTATCACAGAGGCACTAACACATACCAGTCACTGTTTACACCAATCCTCAAGTGTGAATGGAGCTAGGAGGCTGATGCGCTTGTGATACCTGTTTCACAGATGGGGAAACTGAGGCACAGCGTACTTCCCCAAAATCAGAGCAAAGGAGCTAGGATTTGGAATCAGATGTGCTCCTCTCCCTCACCAATGACAAATGACAAATGGATTTTTGACTCATCAGCTCAGCACATGACACGTCTACACATCTACACATGCTCATTGTTGCCCACGCTCCCTAGAGGCGTTATTGTTTCTTATAAAAGAAAAGTGTCTAGAAATTTCCAGGCCCATAAAGAGCATGGAAACCGTATGGATAAAGCATTCAGTATTATAGAAATACTTAGGTGCCAAAATCATATCAACATCTGAAACATAACGCTTGCTAATGACTTTGCGGGTGGATTTTTTCCCAAACCATTACTATTATAATTAATGGCTTATGAGACTTGAGTGCAAAAGGCAATCATGATACCTTGGTTATTTTTCTTCCTATATTTTACATCAGAGGTTTAGTGTCAGAAGTATAGCCTTGAAACAATAGGCTAACCGTGGGGAAAAAATTGTTGAAAACTATTTCAATTTGCAATCCGCCTCCCGGTAAATACGACTTTCTTTCATCCGAATGTTATATTTGGCAATAAAACTATCAGATGAAAGCCCTCCTACATTTCATCTCATTGTTACCTAAATAAAGCAACCCATTAAAATCCCTCTCCTTAAAAGATTGGACTCGGATCCCAACACCTCTGTCTTTATGCAATAGTTCTTTTGGAAAGGGAACAGCTGAGATGCATGGAAGGGAGAAAAAAACAAGAAAAGAAACAAGCAAACAGACAAACACACATTCTCTGAGAAATGAATACCCCTAGGAGGCTGTCTTCCGGGGAACTGCAAATCTTAGTCCCTTTCTGGGGAGACGAGGTGTCCGTATTTCTTGGAGAGAGATTTCCCTCCCGACACGACGAATTAACTAGTTAAAAACTGTTCGCCTGGAGAGGCAGTCGCAGCGTTTTCCGTGCGGAGCCCGCGCGGTCGGGGTCTGGGGCAGGAAGCGGGAGCCCAGGCGGCAGCTCCGCGGGCTGTCCCCTCCCTGCCTCCCGCCGCCTCCCCTTCCCACCGGGTCCTGGGCGGCAGCTCCATCCGTCCAAACGGGGCTGAGTTTGCAGGCTGACAGGGATGCAAAGGGCTGGTGGTGCTGATGTCAGAGCCAGAAGACAGTTGTGATTGGACCTAATTAGACTCCGCAGCAGCAAATAGACAGGCTCCCTGCGTGATTGGCTTCAAAGTGGCTGGTGCCAAACAAGTAAGCAGAGGTGCCAAAGTCGGAGCCCTGCGTTCGCCGGAGCCCAGCGCCCGGGTCTGGGGAGGCGGCCGGGCGAGGAGGGGCGCGGGGCCGGGAGGGGCGCCCCGACCGCCCCGCCCCTGCGCCCCGGCCGGCGGCCCAGCGGGAGCCTCGCGGGCAACAAGCGGAGCGCAGGGGCGCGAGCCGGGCTCGTCCTGAAAAGTGAGCCCGCTCGGGGCTGCGGCGGCGGCGGCCCGGCCCTCCCGGCCGTGCTGGCGGGGCGTCGGCCATGGCCTCGGTCCTGGGGGCCAGCAGGGCGTCCGGAGGGCCGAGCGGTCAACTCAAGTGCAAGTGCAAGAGGCGGCGGCGGCGGCGGTCCAAGCGGAAAGGTAAGGACCCGCCTTCCGCGCCGTCTCCGCCGACTGCGTGCGGGCTCCGCCTGCTCCCAGGGCTTCACTTCTGGGGGGTCGGGGCGCCCCGGAGTTCGCGGCCCTTGGTAGCGGCCGGGGGCTCCTGCGGGCTCCGAGGGGCAGGAAGGGCGGGCAGAGAGCGCCGGGCTCCGCGCAGCCCGCCTGGGAGCCGCGTTTGCAGGCGGGGGGACGGGGACGGCCCCCTCCCGCGTCCACGGCCCCCGGCCCTCCGAGGCCACACCAGCGCGCGAGCCAAAGGGCACCCGCGGAGCCCGCGGCCGGGGGCGCCCTCCCGCCGCTCGCGCGTCCACGCCGCCGCGGAGGCAGAGCGGGCCGAAGGCTGGCCGGGCCTCCCCGCTGGCTGGCAGCGCCCCCTCAGCCTGCGCGCCGCTCTGCTTTCCCAGCGGGGCGCAGGCAGCAGGCGCTGGTCCGGGGGCGGGGGGCGCAGGAACTGGGTCCCATCCAGGAGGGGACCCCGAGCGGCCGGCGGGTGCCCGCGGCGCCCGGGGGCGCGTCTGTGTCGTGGGGACAAGCCGCCCCGAAGTTAGTGCGTTCCGCCAGCAGCCTGGGCTCCGGCCGCCCGGTCTCTGCCCCAGGCGCCAGCGCGGGTCCGAGCGGCGGGGCTCCTTCCCCAGCGCCCGCCCGCCCCCCTCTCCCGCGGACGAACTTGTTTCCAGCCGCCGCTCAGGATGAGTCTGCGGGAGAAAGTTCGGCTCCTGTGATGATTTGAAAGGTGTTGATTTAAGGGGGGAGAAGAGAGTGCGCACAGAGCTACTGAGAACTGCGGGCAGAGGCCACCGCGCCGCGCCGGATTCCCCAGCTTCCTACCGAGGGGTGGAGGCTGCCGGGCCCCGGAGGGTCGTCCCCTACCTGCCCTAAAATACCCCCAGAGCCCTTCCCAGCTTCTTCCGACAACAGAAATTAGCCAGGCAGCGTGGAGACAGAAATGCCACCTTCACACTGTCACCGGTGAAGGTTGTCTGTCAGGACCACGGGCGGGGGTCCCTTCCCTGGAAGGCTCCAGAGCCCTGGCTTCGGAAGGCGGCCGGGACTGGTTCCGAGATTCGGGCTTAACTCTCAGAGCAGCCGCGGCCGTGCCCACTGCTCAGTTTGTGACCTGGAGATATTCTGGACAGACCTGCGGGTGCCTTCCGGAACGACGCCGACCAAAAGTGGCAGCGATGGGGGGGGGGAGAGGGGGGAGATCACAGAATTCAATGACAAATATAACTTTTAAAAGAGGAAAAGAGGAAACATTATCTTGTAAATTATAAGTGTTTGTTTCCCAGCATTGCCGTTTGGTCTAGTTAAATTGAATTAACTTCAATTCATTTCAATTCAATTAAAATTGAAGCGTGTGGGCTAATATTTCACAGCAAAACAGCATTCTACAGAAATAAAATACAAGCTGATGGACGTTGGAGCCTTACTCCAAATTCGTTTTTCTTACCTTTAAATGTCAGCCACGCTGGCTTAGAAAGCATCCAATTTGGAGAAGAATAAGAAACCCGAGGGAAGACTTCATTTGCTATAAACTTAACTAGAACAATTCGAAGTGAAATTTCTATATGAAATATTTCCATGCCTTGGCTTTTTCGAATAAACCAGGTCTCTTAATGTCCCTACCCAAAACTGAGGTGGGAAGGCTAAGGAGTATGCGTGTGCGAATTCCTAGTGCTCGGAGATTTATGTGTGGGGGGTGGAATTTCCCGTGGCATCTGTGGACAGCGGCCTTGGTAGGGCAATGAGCTCACACTGCTAAATATTCACATCTTAGGGAAAAGTTAATAAGATAACCGCAAGTGAGACAATGAAAAGAAAATACAGCAATCGTGGGCCACGTTAATTCATCATTTGCATCGTAGATTGCTTGCTGGGAGTGGGTCAGTTTACGTGCAATTCTGGAGACCCTTGTTTTCCTCGTCTACCAAGAAAAATGGTGAATTTAAATTACGTCCTGACAGTCATGAATCTCAGCGACAGCCGTTGAGTGGAATGGCCTCAGCTTTTAAGCTCATCCACTTATTAAAACTCTGTGTTTGTCGCAATTTTAAATCCACGTGCGTGTCGATGGTTGTTAAGGAATTTGGCTGAGGCTCTACTGAGTACTAACTAGAGCCGCTGCCTGGAGCACAAAGAGAGAGACTTCTCACGTGGGAGTAGATAAATCGGAATAAATGTGGGGCTTATTTGCCAATGGTACGTATTTTTCCACCTATTCAAATGAACAAGGGTGATTTTTGAAGATGCGTCTTAACTTTTAGCTCCCCGGGCTCTGAAAAGCTATCAGTTTTCTATGTGTCAACTCCAGAAGTGGCTTTGATACGATTTTTTTACATCACTTATTACTGTCAAAATAATCTACGGGCTCTGAAACAAAACCTGTAGCTACAGTACCAGTGTGGGATTGATACAATGCCTTCGTTACCATGAAATATGGCCCAGAGCCTCAGAAATCAAATATTTTCCTGTATCAGTGTTTTCAGTTTCCATAGGTAGTATAGATCTTTAAGAATCCAAAAAACAAAAAACAGAAGAAAACAGAAAACTTGGTCCCAGGTATTAACAAGCAGGGACCTGCATTTCTCTCCCAGTTAAACTTGAAAGAGGCTCAGAGTAAACCCACGCACCCACCATGTCTTCCCCTTCTCTCATCAGGATCCAGTATGATGCATTTTTGCATTTTCTCTCTGTGTCACTTTTCAGTCGGGACTTTCTCTTAGAAATTATTTATGAACAATTTACATTTCCTGTACAAGTGGAAAAATGTCAAAATTTGAGTTTTGAGTAGGAGAAAAATAGTCAGCTGGGAAAAAAGCACAGTGAAAAGGACAAGGAAGCCGTGTAATTACAACGCGTGTGGCTACTGCTGCTCACACGCCGCGTATCACGGGAGAGACGTGCCAACCTGCTGGCGGAAAATACCGGGAGGGCCTGTAGTTTATGGAGTTTATTCATCAGCTCAGCACCCACTTAGCTCACTGCTCGTGGGGGATTCTGAGAGTCGGCACTTTGTTCTCTAATTCGTGGTGGGATTATGTGAGGCGATCGGGCACCAGCATATCTGTGCTAGGTGCTCAGAGCCTTGTCCCCCGGGCTCAGAGGAGCTACGTGCGTGAATATCATAGAAGGTCTGTATTTTAGCCCAAAATAATAAAGGCAAAGGTTGAAGGTTATTTAAAATCAGTATCAGCTGAACCAGGTGGCATAAGAGGCAGTATTCATGGAAACAGTATAATATGTAAAGATAAATCACTTCCAATTTTATCAGATAGCCCTCAACCATCGGCTGCATTCCGGGGGGTGTGTTCGAGGAATTTCACAGGGATATTTTTAATCATTAAAATAGGCCCTGTATTCTGTCGTGGGTTGCTGCTGTCCTCTCTTTGGTGAATGTAGTTGTCCTGAAAGAAGCCATGTATCAGCATGAAATGCATTTTGCAAAGAAAATATTTTTAGTATTTGACAATGAGCATATACAATGTGTAAAAATGACTCAAGTTTGTGGAAATTTTTCAAGAACTGTTCTTTCGATGCAAACATATTTGGAGAGGGATCGAGAGCCAATGCAAATTCGGCTGGCTCGGAGAGGGACGGGAGGACCTTGTTCTGGGCGGGGGGAGTCAGTCAGCAGACAGAGAAAGGGAAGGAACTTTGGAAAACTATTGCAAGGCTCTGTAAACAATCATTTGTTAAGTCAACAAAGTGGATTCGGTCATCAGCACATGACTTTTTTTTTTTTTTTTTTTTTTTTGAGGCGTTTGACAGCAAAAGAAGTTAATGCCAGAAATGTAGATGTTGTTGCAGGGCAATCCTTCCAGAGTCTCAGAAACACTGAAGGTGACAGGGAGCCGATGAATCACAGGAAGGTAGGGTGGGAGCGCGGCCCGCCGCTGAACGTCGTGAAATGCAAATAAAAAGTTGGCAAATGGGGCAGAGTCAGGACAGCAGATGGATGACAGGCGCGGGCTTGGTGCAAACCGGGATCCCGTGAAAAATTAACCCAACACACAGATCGCATGTGGATGACGCTCTTCGTGCCCTGCGATGCCTGAGTGACCCACGAGTGTGCCTCATCCTGGCCGGCGGGGACACAGCCTTGCGCCGCGGCCGCGCGTCCCCGAGCATCATCCTGCCTCGCCGTCTGACGGCTCAGGAGGAAGGAGACTGCGTTCCGTGATAAAATTAAGTTGATTAAACCATTCGCCATCCTCTAATTGTGTAGCGCTTTTTTTTCCTCTTTCTCTTTTTAAAATTTGTGTTAGTCCCTCTGGTTTCTAGTGACCCGTGTAATAGCAGTAATTTGAGATTGCTTCGAGGGCATTAGATATGATGAGTGAACTTGAATTTAGAATAAAAATATGAGGTTCATGTATCCGTAGCTAAATAGTGGTGATTCAGTTACTGCAGAAGCAGCGTCCCAGAAGAGCGTTATGTAAGGAAATGCGGAATGAGGAAATTGTGGTTTTCTGATTTGAGGCGTGGAAAGATAAGTTATGCTCTGAGTGCATTCAGTGTCCAGTTGAAAAGCCATAAACGTGTTTGCTGTTCCTTTCTGTACCTGCCTACCTCGTAAAGGCAGCTGAAACATTTGAGCATTTTTTACGTCTGCCTGCTTCTTTTCCTAAAATGTTGGAGGGTGAATGTTAGTGTTTTCGTAACACCAACAATTTTAAACAACTCGTAAAACAAAAATAATTATATTACCCTGTTCTTCATCATGTAAAGATATCATTTCTAAATCAATGCTCTGCTGGTAAAACGGGCTCTTAATTACTAACAAATAGATTTCTAAAATGACGAATTTCCTCATGGTAAAAGTAAGATTTTAGAAGCACTTCTTACACCCATTTCTAAATTGAAAGAAAAAAAGGTTAGTGCCAAGTGAAATAAAAAGAAAATCGTGGATGTCCTTCCCAAAATATTCCAACTACTGAGCATTAACGCTAACCGTGTCGCTCCGCATTAAACGGAAAAAC